TCAGAAACTGTCTAGATATTGAAGTAAAAAGATGATCAAAGATTTGATACTATGATTAATGAACCAAAAATAATTTAAAAATAATTTTGTAATTTTACAAAACTTCCTTTTGTCAGGGCTATATTATGATATGCACTACATTAATTCTTTTAATTACAATGACTTTCCTGTCCAAGGTTTGTTTGCGGTTTTATGCACTAATTGTAAATTAGTTTAAATACACTCATAACAACACAACATAGTATAGTTATATTGTTTTTGTGGGAAGTTATCGCTAAGGCTATGTTCAGATGGCAAAAACTTGACGCGCGTTTTCAAATCGCGCGACTAGAGATTATGGTATTTTTCATACAACTGTTCACATGTACGCGCGTTAACGCGCGTTAACGCGCGTCAACGCGGCGCTCAGAGAAAAAGTCTCTAGACGCAGGTGATCGCGCGTTGACGCGCGCTTTGATATTAATGTAATGTCCGTTTGCTGTTCAGATGAGCGCGCGCTTTCATCGCGATCGCATGTAATTTTATTAATTTTCGTAATTATATTTTGTTCTCGCTTTTAAAATGAGTGAAATTGAAGATATTGACATCGACTTACTAATCGATGAAGTAGAAAAAAGGTCAGCAAGTTGGAATATAGCAAATTTGTATAAAAAATATAATACATATAAATTGTATTTTTTTTTCAAAATTGGATGAACCCAATGTTTTCTTTATAATTAAATTTCTTTATAATATAACCACAAAATAATAGCCTCTTCCACGTCCATTTTCTACGTTCTACCGAACTAGACTGACGAGTACTCTCGCAACGCGCGTTAGCGCTCATCATCTGAACGCTCTTCAAATTTGATCGCGCGTTGACGCGCGTTAACGCGCGTTACATGTGAACATAGCCTATAGCTGTCTACAAGCCGCCGGCCGGCGGCCTTAGTTTTAACGATGTTGCCGGCGGCTTGCGCCCGCGCGATCTTCCCCGCGGCACGCCCCTCTCCGCTCTTCACCACCGGTTGCCCACCGGCTTTTAAGAAATAGTGACGCGTCAGTGTTTTTATCGACTAAACATTATGGAATCCGTTAATGAAGTGGAGAGAAAAATAAAAAATTTAACAAGTCACTAGCAAGCACTTGGCAATCACTAATTGTGAACACTGCATGCCGCGACTGTATGTCGTGCCGCCGGGAAAATTGTCAGGCTCGCAACTTCTAAAGCCGCCGGGTTCGTGCCGGCGGGCCGGCGCGGCGGATGCGGTGTGTAGACAGCTTAAGACTTACAACTATCCCAAAAGATATTATTGACATTTTATTAATAATACCTGTAATACCAAAGATATCTAAGGAAATTTTCGTTGTACTGTCTCAGATTCACAGCAATTGTGACTTTTTTGAAAATCAATTAAGTAAAATTTTATCCCTATTAATTCGTCGTATAGCGTTACAACCCACCCTATGTGGGGTTTGACGATAGACTATCCGTTTCTTTGATAATTTTTATTTTATAGACAAGTAGATGATCAGCCTACTGAATTTTTGGGTTTTTGGGTTGCCCCCCGTTCTATAAAAAAAAGAAAACAAATATTTTGGTGCACAGCCGTGTTTAATTAGGTAACAGATATCAAAAAATGAAACCATAAATAACAAACAGAAATACCAATCTCTAAACAAACTTGGCCTAATCAGGAATGTACCATTCCCTTTAATATTAGAACTTCCTTACCGGGAGGATAACAATATTATTCTTAGAAATCAAGTGATAAACAAAAACTGCGCCATCACGTAGGTAAGAAATGACGTATCTTTCTGATCACGCCCGCGTTACTAACAATACTGACGAAACAGATAAACCAAACTATTGTTCTTAGCATTCCTTTTTATTAATTTATCTTATTATGCAAAATGTTTTTGGTTTTTTTTACTTTCGTTACAGTGAAAATTTTTGTTGGAAATTCAGATTTTATAAAATAAGCTAATCAGGTATATAGCGACATAGGAGATTCATTCAGTGTTTTAAGACATGCGCAAACAAAAGTATTGTAATTCCTATACTAAAAAAACTGCCAGTTGTCACAAACAGACCACAGTGAATATTATACAAAGTGGTAACTAACCTTATATAGTCTCTAACGAACTGTCGTGCATGAGGCGCCTTTCCGAAATCAACGTTTCTAGTCAGTACGCGCCTCACAGGCGGTGCCAGTGCTGGCAAAGGAGCAGAACGAGGTCTTCGCCTACATAACCGCGCGAGCAGGGCACACAGCTCACCGTTGACACCTCTCTCTGCTAAAAGTGGTGCAGCCACGCTTGTTGTTGTTTCAGCCCATTCCTCCCAGTCAGGACTATCCTTGTTCTAGAATAAAAAAGTTAAATAATTAAAAGACAATGTTAAATGAGTTACTTTCTTTACCTTTTAATAATTAAAAATACAAAACCTATATGTATACAATTTTTTATCTAGGTACAAAAATATTACGACTTTCTTATTAATAACGGATATGCATGGCATACGTGAAACAAACAAAAGCAACAATGAGAGAAAACACAATTATTGTACGATTAAAGAAATTGAATAACAAATTACTCTTAGCGAAGATATAACTACTGTTATAAATGATAGGAGATAACAACTACTTTCACATAATACCCAGTTATATAGGTAGTACATTGTTTAACTGCTTCGAAATTTTTCAATAATTAATAGTAATTTATTTTGCCTTCTTATACGCTTTTCGTCGAATGTCAATGTCTTCGTTTATCGTCTTAATAATACTTATTCTTGCGGAATAATAGTTTCCGGGCATAACAAATACTTTTTAAAAGCTGAAATACCTCTAGATACACTTTTGCATCTGTTTAACAGGCAAATTTAAATTTATTCGAATTGTTAAAATATTAACAAAACATATATTTTGACTTTATTTACCCTAGTTTTCAGACCAATTAAATTCTAATCAACTACTCCTTCCTAAGGAAGTGGTTATAATGATAAGCAGGTAAATAGGAATTGTATAACAAATAATAATTACAAACAATATTTATTCTTGAAACTTCTATACGTTAGATGATGCATATATAATTTTCCGTGTATAATTACGACATTCCTATTGATTAACAAGAATTTTTTAAATATTACAATTATATAATTTTCTGGAATGATATGGTAATCATATTTTTAGTTTGTTTTTTATTTATTCAAGTAATTAGGAATGTGCTGATAAAGCGGATATTCACAAACGTAAATGGTAATTTCACACGATAGTTAGAATAGCAAGTGATGTGAAACGACTTAAGAAGAATAAAGATGATTTTGTTTTGCCCCCATATTGTATACACTATACATATATGTATAAAAAAATGAAAAAATATAAAAATAATTATACACATTAATGGGCGTCCACATATCTCGCATTTTAACGAAAACACTTTTACTAGATTTAAACTTATGTATGTTAATCTTTTTAAGAATAATAAAACCTAACCTGGCCCTATGATTTGCAAGCTTCACATTTTTATATCCAAGAGTTGTCTGAATTAATAATCAAGGCGGTTTAATCGTAAGGCAAAGCTTTTTTAATGAGTTATGACGTGAATAAATGACCGATCTTTCAACTTTCTGAATGCTAGAGAAACAAAAAAGACAGTAAAATATTACAAAAAACGTACTTATATACAACAGGGGCTAGTCGATTATATTGAAACCGCAAAACAATTTATATCTGACCACAAGTACTTCACCGGTTTACGAGTACGTACTTAATGAATAATAAATTATTGTAGGTGTCAAGCATTCTCTCGTCGAAGGGTCAAGGGGAAAGTTAAAGAATGAGGAATTTATTATGTTCCTGGATAAAGACGCGAACAGACTTGATACTTCCACTTTTAATTCTTCTGTATAGAAGAATTGAAATGCTATAAATACAAAAAGCCAGTTCCCGTTTGACGGATATCATATAATTTTTATGTATAATCGGAATGGAATGAATTCGTGTATACAAATGAACTTTTGTATAAACGCAACCTGGTTTAGTAAAAGTATCAGTAAACGTGATTGCGTTTACACTTTACGCTTTGCCATATAGCAATACGCAAATTATGACCTTTTTTTGTTGACGTTACTCCTCCACGCGTGGTTAACATATTTTCCTAGATTCTTATTTGCAGCGAAAAAATGTATTTCGGATCACCTACTAGGATCTACGGATTAGGATTATCGACGAACCAGCATGTATTATAATTCCTTTGTGAGACACGAAATAATATACATTGGCTTTGCTAATTTAATAATACATTATAGTAAACAGAACTCACTTACTAACTACGTCAATTTAACTTGTTATATACCGTAAAAAATGTTGGTCCTCTTTCTCTCGACACGAATGCGTAACGTCTCGGCATAGAGCTGAATAATTACCTACTTCTTGTAATGTTCCTCGTATATATTTTCACTTGATAGGTAAATGTATGATAATATCTACTTTTAATCATGCATATATTATACTATGAATGTCATTGATAAAATTATCGGTATTATTAGACTAATTGGAAAACTGTAACGTTTAGTGTTTGAGAACAAAAAACCGAACGAAAAATTACTTTAATGAATTTAATACATATTTTTAATTGTGTATTCCTTCTTTAAAATGATATCTTTGAGGTGTTTAAAGATAATTTTTATTCTGTGCAAAGAGGTAGATATGTAGAAAATATTGTACATAAAGTATATTTAAAAATTGAAATTTTTTAAATATATTATGTATATTAATATACCTAAATGTTTAAACATTACCTCAGAGAGTAAATTAGTTAGCAACGACAAGGGTGTACGCGTCACACTCTCGTCCTGCAAGGGTGTAGTCATCACAAAATCCACCATGTTCTGAAAATTGAGATAAAGCAATAAAACTATATTTTTCACAGGTAAAAAGTAGACGTTTAAAATAAATAAAATTTTACGTAAAATCATTTACATGATTCTTTGTGATCTTCACGTACGCCTTAGAACCTTGCCTAGATTTATTTTTTATCGGTGATTGATTGTATCAACCAACATCAATAATTAAGGTGCTCAGTTGACCTTGATGGAATTAGATAATCTACCTATTTAGGCTTAATTACAGGTTGAAAATTTCTGAAGAAACCAAAAGCCACAGTTAGGGAACGGGCCAAATTTCACCAAAATATGGTTTATGGTATGGTTTCGAGATATGGTTCCACGCATTTCAGAGACAAATTAATATTATTTGTAGTAGTAGTAGTAAGTGAATAATTTTGATATGTGTTTGAAGAGTATAATTTTTCATAAATAGTTTTATTACGTCTCTTACTATACTTATACTATAACTCCTATATGCATTTTTTAATTGCTACTTTGATTCTCCCAAGTTTTATCAAAAATAACAAGCTGCAAACAATTTTTAAACAATACACTATCATTCAAATATACCTACTCACCTTTAACTCTTTTACGACTAACTCCTTCCTCACGGTTTTTGTTAATATATTACGGTAACGCAGCATGTTTCTCTGTAATTAATAAAATTTTATTTTTATATTAATCTTTATAGGTATGTAAAAGTCAACTCGACTAAAGAAAACTCACCCTCCACACTATTGAGTAGTACCACTGGTCCCTCGTGTATGCATCGTTAGCCTAAAACAATATTAAGTAATAAAAATACATATACTCATCACAACCTACTTCATTTTAAACAGAGGAATTACTTTCACTGAGCGCAAAAATCGTATGGTCATGACTACAATTGCATTGTTATTTTTTTTTTTAATAGCCATTAACTATTATGAATACTGGGCTTTACAACCCCTTTTAATGCTTTTATTTATTTCCTAATACAAAAAAAAATATTAAGTTTGAATGTATATTGTATTATTACATAATGTTTAGATTTTGTTTGGGTCTGTAGGCTAGGAATATATTTGGCTGGTATATCTTGTGTATAGGTCTCCTTCAACGTATGATATTCATCTTTGTTTTTCGCCACTTCCGTTCATTTATATGTTATTTTTAAATCTCTTCTTTATTAAAAAACCCATACCATGCCGGCCGGTTCTCTTTCCGTTGTAGCAGAATATATATATATATACTTCATCCTCTTCTATGATACATCCCATTCTTCGTAATTCTGCTAGTCTTAATATGTCGACAGCTATAGTATCATGCGCATGTGTAAGTTTCATGAATCTGGTTGCTGATGACAAAGTTCTCACGTTCCAATTTTAATTATGTATTTTTTTGTATGCTAGAAGGTTGCGGCTGTGGTCCCACGAGGACCAGCGGCTTGGGGGAGATTGATTGAAATAGTTGCGCTACATTGTTTTATTATTTTGTTGCAATTCTCGGTCTTCGGTAGTTATTGTTATGTGGAAGATTTTGTTAAGGGCCTTTGACCTTTGAAACTTATTAATTCCAATGCAAATAAATAATAATAAATGCAATGTCTTGTTGACTTTAAAGTTTTTTGTGAAGCTTGTTTTGGTGGGTAGTTTATTTGGTTGAGTGTTAGATTAAAGTTGTAGCGAGGTACTCAGCTCTTTTTTCTGTGTGAAACGTGGCATACTGTGGCATCTTGACTGCTTTTAATACTTAAAAGTTATTTTGGCTTTTTTCCGCTGTTCCAAAAATGTTGGCTGCAGCGCTTTTTTCTTTTCTATCACTTATTTCGAGTAATTTTCTATTATATAGATTTTCTTCAAGCTCTTTCTATTTTTCATGATTTGGTTATTGTTCCTTCAGTTTACAAAAGAATATAACATAGGATTCGGTTTATCCCCTTTGTTATTTCTTATCTCTATATATATAAAATTCTCGTGTCACAATGTTCGTCCCCATACTCCTCCGAAACGGCTCGACCGATTCTTATGAAATTTTGTTTCGAGGTCCTAGTTAACTTGACCACAAACGCAGCCTCGGATTTTTCCTGCCTACAGGTTGTAAGTTCAGTAAGAACCTTGTCATCTGCCATTCATTGCACATGTCCCAACCACTTAAATCTAATGCATTTTATGAATTGGACGATGTTGGCGTTTGGATTCAATTGCCATTAATTACTTATGTAAGAATAATGTGTTCAGTTATAAGTTGGTAATACCTTGTTATACAAATAGCCATTATTTTAATAGTAAAACAGATTACTTATTGAAAGTATGATATATATCTTTTGTATTATTCAGTGCTAAAAATATTTCACAGTACGTTAAAGAGAACTTTAACCTGTGAGAAATTCCAAACCTGCAATAATAACGATCCATGAGGCATAACAATCCGCAGACAGTACTTTCTGGCGGGATCCCATCTCGATATACAGTATACTTCCTGCATGCAGTTGTACGTCAATGGTCGTTCCATTTGGCCGCAAGGCTAAAACAATATATTTATGGTTTACATGACTTTCTACAAAGATAATGTTGAGAACGCAAAAGCCTACTGCTTAGCATAGATCTTTATTTGACTTTAGTAAAACAACTATTACTCAGTACTTATAATGCTATAGTTACTTACTTATTACATATTTTTTTGGATAATTATAATTTCTTTTAAATATTGTAGTGTTTGATTTTTTTTAATTTTACTTGTTATAGTTAATTGTTTTTTTGCGTATTTTGTAGTTGTACTAGATTTTAAAATTTTAATACGACGTTTCATGGAGTTTTTCTAATAAAAAAGATGTTTTAATATGCAATATGAAAGTCATGCCACATAAAATAGACAAATGGTTAACTATTTTCTAAACAGGCAAAGATCAGCGTTTAATTAATTTGTAATCGAATTGTTTTCGTCTAGAGGCGGGAGTAAACGAGTACGTGACCTACTGAGCTTTGAAGGCGCTCAGAAACTTCGTGGAACATGAGGTTTATTGCAGAAAATTACCACCCATTAGCGATACCGATTTCGACTTCTATATTGAGTTTTGTACCAGGCGATCCAAAGTGTGTACATCGCTATGGATATTTAAAAAAATGGGCGTATTGACAAGAGATATAAACCACTTTAGATTAATTATTAGTTAATATAGTATCTGCCTAGCTGACGAGCTCAATAAAGTTGGTAGAGAAGATTGGGAAATAAATGTTTAAGATAGAAAGAGGTGGAGCCAATTGGAAGTGGTCTATACTCTATAAGAGGTCCTTGGGAAAAAAATATATATTACTTATTTATAATTATTTCTGTATACATTTTAAGTATGTGTATATTTTGTAAAGACTAAAGATGCATGAATGTTTCAAGGAATAAATGAGACTTAATTATTATATATAGGCTACACAAATTGTTACTTTTAATTATATTTAATATTGGATTTAAAAATTAAACAAGATAATTTCCAAAGCGCTTCTGAAGCACGAAGCAACCACACGTAGACAAACGTTTTATAAATATTATTATTAAATTGCACAAAAACACATATATTATATATCGATACTTGGAAACTATATGTATACTAGAATTGGACAGGCAAATACATTATGTGCAAGCATGCTACCGTCATCGGCTATTTGACTAATCTGTGTCCGTTGTGTCGAGTGACTGACGTAGAAAAATTTATATTTTAGATTACGGATTTTTTGATAATATAGTAATTTTATTACAATTAATAGTTATTTTATTAACGCTTTTCAACGCCATGTTTTATACAGATAATTCACAATAAAACTTTATTTTTCATAGTGTCAAATAGATACATTACATTGATATAAAATCTATATATTCGGCACTGCTTTACAAAACATTTTTCTTTCGCCTTAAACTATGCGTAGGATATGTATGCATGTATGTCTGCATGATGCATGATTTTGTATGGTCAAGACCATACAAAATTAAAATACAAGTATTACCATATGAAATGTGGCAATACCAGACCGAAGATATCTTTTTTGTTTGTGGTGGAAACAAAGGAATTGCGAGTCATAATGAATCAGCGACTACAGAAAAAAAGAAAGTAAGAAGACGTATTAGAAAGCAGGAAAATAATTAAACTAGAGCAGAGCGGTTGAGTCAGGGGCCTTATACAAGTAAATCTGGTCTTACAAAAGCATACACTCTTTGTAATATAACCCTACCTCTTGTATTATTTACATAATAATACTATGTACAAGTCAACGTCAAGTAGGGAAGGTAACCACACGAAAATAATTTAAAAATTATCCATTATACAAGACAGTATAATCAATGTTATTTAATTAAATTGAAGACCTGAAAGAGTTACTTTTGCTGTGAAGCTAATATTTCTTGCCGTATTATATTTAGGTAATTGTCTATAGCCGCGATAGAGCTCTTAAGTATACTGTTTATATAGTGATCCTTGGACAACAAGCTATTTTATTCCAGGATCTATATGAAATAGAAATAGTGTAGAACATCTCTCAACTCCGACGTCCTGCGATTGAACCTTGACAGTGGATTTTTCTATTTGCGCAATTATTGCACATACGATGAAGGTTAATGTGAGAAAACCGATCTAAGACAGAATTATTCAGAGCGTCGGTGGGACAGGATTTGGATCAACTACTTGCCTATAAAGAACCACTGTAAAGAAAACAAATACTGAGGCCAAAAGCCATATATATGTCTAATATGTGTAATAGTTTACACTGGCTTATTATAATGGTAGAAGAATATACATATTATGAAGTCTATTGTAAATCTAAGAAGCTTGAATACATTGTTTTGTATACACTAGCTATATTTTTTAGAGAGATTCATTTGATTTAGAAAAAATAAAACTATTTAATCCACAAGTAATTTCAAAATACCATTATATTCTTAAGCCTTAATTATGACACTATTCGTGGTATCTTTTTCTAACACTTATGATTGTGAAATCATTGCTATTGTTATAGATACAAAGTGCAATTATCAAGATACTTTGTGGCCGGTTATCTTATTTTGTATTCTATCGTCGTAATAACTACTTACGTATAACGATTGACGTTTTATTTGTTTGGATATCGTTACGTGAATAATTTAATATAAATCTTGGGTGTTATTAACAATTTCAATATTAACTTTACTTTAGGAATTAACCATGTATTGTTTAAATAATTTTAAAACTCTTTTTTTAACAATAACTCAAAAATTAAAAGTGCCTCGTGATTTTTTTTAATTTCTTACATTTGTTAATTCACCCCGGAATAGGCCTTTCGACGGTAAATAGTCACACTTTTTAAAAACAATCGACAACTACAACATACTTGAAAGCCACGTCCGTTAAGTTATACAGTTATACAGCCATCTGCATTTAAAGAATTAAGAACAAAGCACGAACTAGCAGTTATCTGTGTAATGTTCAGTATGACGTCGATAGCGGCAGCGGGCATTGGCCCACTGGGCCCGAGCGCGAGGTTACTCGTGACGTCATGAAATCACAGGCCGCGGCCCCTATGCGCCTTTTAAAACACCTCTTACCTATGCCGCGTTGCTATATGTACACATTTACATTAATGTCTTCGTGGTCTTGTGTAATATGTACTATAACAATACGTAAGTAATATCGATACCTACTTGTGCTATTCAGACTATAAAAATGGGAGTTCATAGGGTGGCGGAATTAGGATACAAAATTTATTAAACAGTATTACATTAATTGTGTGTGATTTTAAGCTATTTTAATTACTTTAAGTTATACGTCATTTATATCAATTAGTGTAAAGGTAATCAAGTGCAAATTATAAAAATTACCGTTTCAAACAGTAATAATTATATCGTTTATAAAGGTTACACAAAGGCATCAAATATGTCTCTGTAATCAACATAGTAATATTAACATTGACTTAAGAATGCGATCGAGTAAGAAATTAAAGTGTTTATATACATTACGCACGGAATCCTTTTTAGAGCATTTTCATTAACATAAAAATAGCAATAGCAATTACAACCGTAGTCAGTGTCGTTCTTTAAGAGTTACTTAGGCCATTTAGAAGATATAAAGAAGTTAACTGAATCAATTGGAACTTAAGCAGAGTCTGTCCTATACCACCTCTTCTTAACTAATCGGGAATTAAATTTCCTAGACATGCATAGTTATATAATTAGATATTATTTAATGAAGCGTTATTTACGTATGTATTTCTTATCTAACTTAATGACGTCTTTCGAGAATTATTAATAATTACGTTGAATATTTTTTTCTTATTTTCTATCTTAGGCAGGTTGTTTAAAGAACAAATTAAAGATTGATATATAATATTATAATCTTTATTTTTCAGTACCTATATATAATAACAATTATTACTATCGTCATTGACGCACATGACACGTCTACATCTTGAGATATATAATATATAGTTTCCTTTCTATCATTCTGTGTATAATTGTTTTAATTATATTGATGTTTATAGTAATTAACCATTTTTAGCGGAGAACTGCCTAGTGAGGCCTTTGGCTTCGCTTCATAGGCATGAATTCTCATGAAAATTCTCCCTATTGCCTGTTCCTCCTTGGACCGAAGTTTAAGAAAATAAACCGCTTAAACGAAATTTGTTTTCATACCATATCACTTTAAAAGCGAAAGTAACCTTGAGTAATGAAAAATCGATAAAATATATAATACAATTTTGTATAAGACCAAGATAAGCACTGTGGGCGATGAAAAAAATCGCTTTTTTGTTTATTTAATCCGTGATTGTTGAACTCGAATTCGATTATCGCTTTTGTACAAAAATATCCAAAACACGCAATCACTATTTGCTAAATTAACTGTTTTTCAGCGTATTAACCTTGCCTTTCATTGACATTCATACCAAATCTTGTGTTATTAAATCTATAATCACCTATTTATAATCTTCGATAACTCAACATCAAGTCAAAAATGGATCCTTTTAATTATTCTACTAACTATGGCGAAAATTTTATTCCTATAAGAAAAACAGCTACTTCATTGACAATCCAAAAAATTTACTCAATTTTTGGACCTGATTTTCTTGTCTGACATGCAGATTATACTATGATGTATATATCGTTGATTTTTCAGTTACTAAATATCATCGGTAAATGGTCACAATTATCTAATTTTAATTTTATCCTAACTAATAAGTTACTCATATTGAATCAGAGCAGTATTGTCCTAGTGGCCTCAGGGTGCGACTCTCATCCCTGAAGGTCGTCGTATAATCGGCATTTCAATAGACTTTCTGTCTATGTGCGCATTTAACACTAGCTCGTACGGTGACGGCAAACAACGTAAGGAAACCGAAAAAAACAAATCGACTACATGTGTTAGACAGAAGGCTAATCACCTACTTGTGTATGAAATGATCAAAGAAACAGATGTAATCTGAGGCCAAGACCCATTTGGGGTTGTAGTTCCACTGGATTATTATTATTCGTATTCAATCAGGGTGGCCAATGTTCTTGATTTCATTAATCTGACGTATAAATTGACATTACAGTATTTAGTACATTGAATGTAAAGAATTACATTAAAAGTTTTTGTCCAACAATTAAATATGATTTAATAATATTCAGTGGGTTGTATAATTTAACTAACTAACTTTTCCGAGTATAAAGAATTCTTGATTATTTTTATTAGTGAAGAGTGACGCACGTACATTTATCTAGATTACCAATTCTCAAACTGACCTCGTAACTCTGATTAAAAACCTAAAACAAGTTTTGTTGTCATTCATTATTAGTATTTCAATTAGTACAGGAATGTTTATTAAAAATTGATATAATAATAATAGATTTCTTGACGAAAATACCCCAATGACGTATAAATAATTTTCGTGTGACGTTTTGAAAACTATTGTATAAACAGTTGTTCGTTCGTGCCACATTCCTTCAAAAAAAATATTCTCATTAAAGAAGGTCATCTAAATAAATTGTTAATATTATGTAACTTAGACCCCTATTGTCAGAAAACAAAATATTCAGCAAATAAGTATGCATCTTTTTTTATCTTGGTTGATAAGATATCATGAAGTATTTTTAATATTAACTCGTATTACTCAGTTCTTTTAAATTAAATATATATTACCGACTCCGTTGCTCAGGTCGAGCATTGGAATATGTGAAGGTCAAAAGGCTAACCACCTACTTGCGCAGATGATCATAAGTGGAACAGGCAAAAATGCCTAAACCGCACCAAATTCCAGAGGAAAACAAATTGGAATGTACATGAATTGTTAAGTCAATGTGGAATGCGTGGATAGTTTAAACTTTAAACGAAAATATTATGACAAATATTTAAACAGTTGTTTCAAGAAGGTATTTAAATTCCATACGAAACAAAATGTTAAATAGGAATAAAGATGTGAAATACAGTTTCAAATTTTTTACAGATATTTAGGGTGTACAACTAATGTAAAAATAAGTAACGACCAGCCATTTTTTGCCGTGCATTCTTTAACTTCCTGTTTATAATGTTAGTTAAATTTAAATTTTTGTTTTGTACCAAAAAGCATTTTTAGCATTAATTGAATTAGTACTTACAGTTTTTGAGACGATGTGGTCGTCCAGTAAACACAGAACGTGGCTCTCCCATCTCCTGAAGAATTTGGCTGCTAGGATTTTGTCAACCACCGTCCTTGTATGTTGAAAGGAACATATTCTCAAAGTCCCTTCTGTAGCCAACTTGTACCTCGGTCCCGGTGGTGGCACGGGAGTCCCAGACGAGTTTGTTACTTTGGACCCGATAACATCTATACAGCACTCAGGACTTGACCCCTAAAAGAATGAGAATATTTTTATCAAGTAGTAGTCTGATTTCTGATGCCCAGTTATTTTGCATAATACTCGTACTGAAATATGTTTAGACACTTTACTAGTTTTTAAAAATAGATTTTGAATTTAATGTAATGATTAACGCGAGACGATAAATGTAGAAATTTTCGATTTAAAAAGAAAAATTTAAATCTGATTATATTTTAGGAGAATTTATTTGTAAAGCTAGACTATACATATATACTAGGCATTCTAAATATACACACTTAATGAACGAAAAAGGTCAAGTATTCTAAAAGTAATTAAAATAAAATTATAGATAAATTATCGATTTGCGTCACTGTCAAGTTAACGATGATTATACTTCACAGTTTACGTTAAACGCTGAACGAATACTTTTATCAACAGGTAATTATGAATACTCAAAAAAGAAAACGTAGTCATTAGACAAACATAGACATTGAAGAATTGCAAATTAATACAAGGCCCTACTCTTAAAGTATACAACCGAACTATTATGTCGAATAAAACCTCAGTCAGAAGCCTAGTTTCGAAAACTTTTTATATCATTGATCAACTGAATCGATTTTGTTACGATTTCGACATTATAGTAATGGCTTACTACGTACTGTAAGGAAGGCATATTTGTGAATAAATAATTAAACAGTACGAAACGTTAAAAAGCATAGGAACATTATTCTGGGTAGCAAATATTCCATTAAATTAAAAGGTCAATATTATACCAGTATCTTAATATGTAGGCACTACAATGAAAGTAATAAGACATTGGAATGTTCTTTGTATTAAAACGTAAAGGAAAATATCTGACATCCAGTACGAAATTGGTTTAATAGCCATATCGATCATTGAATATTCAATATATATTTGAAGGCTGTTAATTAATCTACACATGCTGCTTCTGCATTGTTTATGATGTTGCAGACGGATAAATTAGTTATTAATAGTTGAATATTTAAATATAAATCTACTAGCCTGACTTTTTTTGTTGTTACATTATTACTTTCAGTGTATGTAAAACAATATCTTTACTAATCTTGACAAAACTCTAGAATTTATATCCAATTTCTAGATAAATTATTTATTTAAGTAATAGTATAATATACTTGAACAAATGAATGTGTGTGATTTTTTTCACACACTAAGTATTATAATATAAATAAAAACTCATACTGGGACTGTGTAAAAAAGCCCGCGTGGTTTATTTGTAAAACATTATGAATATTATAAAAGAATAATTAAAAATCTGTTCTCTTTATAAAATTAGTATTTCTCTATATATATATACAAGTCAGAGGTTCCATAACGATATAATAGGTACTAATAAAACAGGCGCCCATTTTTAGTATGATTTGATTTATTTATTAAAGTTTACCACTTCATACATAGTAACTAAATCTACGGTATATTATGTTACAAACTCATTTATCTATAATGTATGACAATTTAGGTAAACATAAATGTTACAAAAAAAAATTAAAAAACAAAATACCAGAAATTCTTGTTAAACACAAAAAAAATACCAGAAAAACAGCCGATTTGATTCGAGATAGTCAATTAACAATGCTTTCTTTAAAACCGATCAGCCCACTACCGAATTTATTCAGCTCCGGATAAGTACTGTTTAATCCGTTAAAATCGCGAAGCATTCGAAAAAGAGGTGGCTGAACTCCTATGTTGGTTTTTGCAGAAGGAATTTGGATTTTTTTTCTAATTTTTGACCATGGGAATGAGTAAGGGACAAAAGTGTTATTGTCTTGTAAGAGGTCACTGCTCTGTACTTGTACGTTAATTTTTTGTCAATAATTACACCCAAGTCACGAATCTCCTGAACCCTGTTTCAAATTAGTTAATTTTAAAACAAAGTTAGTTATTTGTATATGTTATGACAATAAAGTACCAACATTTTTAACTTACTTATTGTCGCTCTAACAGAACGTGCGCAGCTCGTAGCAACGATTGTTAGTTTGGAAACGTTACATTTTATGCTTTTCTTCTTGGAAAATCGTGGTTTACGTCAGAGATGGGTTTTCCCAAATGCCAAAACTCAATGTGCTTGTATAATTATGCATATCAAAGAATATTTGGCAATTACGTAGTATAAATTGAAAACTTCAACATTAAATTTTTTTTTTAGTATAAACTTATTTATTTAAATGAAGAACTTTTAATCAGTTTTACTTTAAGGTGTTTTCCATAAAATATTGATAAATTTAAGGTCTACTAACTATTCATATTTGATATCGATTTTAATGTAGTAATTTGTAAGTATACGGAAAGCATAAATGGGTCACTAGCTAAAGAATAGTATCGCTTTAACATCTACTTTCTGTCGACCAACCTCTATAATCCATAGATTTGGCAACGTTTCAAAATCTAAAAATAAAATTTTAGATACACAAATAACAACGAAGGTATTGAATTAAGTATTTTATTTTTGAATACATTAAATCAGCATTATTTTGATATAAAATATTACAACAGATTTATTGCCAATATACATTTGAAATTTCATATTTAAAATTATTTAACAGATTTTGCGTAGTTTTTTTTGTTAATTTTATTTTATTGCTAAAACCACTAAGGATCACAGCACACATATCAACTCGGAAAGGGATCGTCACTGTATCACGTCGAGCTGTTCAGTATTGTTTGTATGAAACTCCCAACTGCAACACTAATCGGAATCGTAGCGCAATCGTTACTCCTGTCGCGGGAGGGAACAGGGACAAGGGTGGACGAACAGACGTAAGCGCGGGGACGACGAGCCGTAAGCGTGGTGTTGCCTAGCAGTAGCCAAGCTGACATACAGGAGCTGCTGATACGATTAGGTTACGTGCAAATGTTAGGTTGACGCCTGGTTCACGGCGAGGCGAAAGGCGATACGGTGACGATCCCTTCCCGAGTTGCTATGTGTGCTGTGACCTTAAGGGGTTACTTTGGTGCTTGAAAGGCTACACCACAATACAAATTCCTTACAAACTAAAGAGTTAAAAGAATAATAAAAAAACCAATCAATACAAAAATATATCCTAATATCTTAAATTTACATTTGACACTTATGTTACCTATGAAGAATATAAATGTAGTTAACCTATTGGACATTATCGCAAACGTTATGTTAAAATTTATGAGAGCGGGAAAAACTAAAGGGCTCATTTTCGCTTCTTGTGTGCGATGATTGCTAACATTTGGATTGCGCTTCTAATTCTTAACTTAAATATATATCACTAGTCTGTCCATAAATAATGTTACATAAAAACTTTTCTTTACATGGTCATACAGATACAACAACACTTGGTAAGTCGAAGACCAGAAAAGATCGGAGCGGCCGCGTGCTGTTAGAACTACAAAGGTTCATACTGTTAAAGCCAGAATTCGTCGAAACCCCATTAGGAGGCAAAAAATCATATCGCGAGAAATGAAGATTCCCACTAGGACTCTGTCGCGTATTATAAAACAAGACCTGAAGCTCGGTGCTTTTCGTCGATATACAGGACATGCCCTAAATCAATATTTACAATTAAGGAGAGTATATCGATCAAAACGCCTTCTGTCGCGATACACAAGCGAATAGCACAGAAATATCCTCTTTACCGATGAAAAAAATTACACAATTGAAGAACACTACAATAAGCAAAATGATAAAGTGTACGCTCATAGTTCTAAAGAAGCTGGACAAGTGGTCGGAAAGGTACAACGTGGTCATCATACTGCATCAGTGATGGTTTGGTGGGCGTTTCTTAATAAGGAGTCACAAAACTACATTTTTGTGAAAAAGGTCACTTCAGCCAAAGTGTATCAAGACACAGTCTTGGATCATGTTGTGAAATGCTGCCTTTCCAGCAGGATTCTGCACCTGGCACTGGTCACAAGGCACGAACTACCCAAGCCTGGCTTGAAACCAACGTTCCGGACTTTATAAGAGTTGAAGACTGGCCTTCATCTAGCCCAGACCTTAGACTTCAAATTATTGTCAGTTTTAGAGAACATGACCTGCTCTAAACAACATTTTTTAAGAGACTCAATGTCACTTAAAAAATCTTTGGAGCAAACAGTGGCGACATTTCCCTTGGAAACTGCGTAAATCCATAGATTCGTGGCTAAACAGATTAAAGGCCTGTATAAAAGCCAAAGGAGGCCATTTCGAATAAAATATTTTTTTATTTTTTGCTGAGACTTTAATAAACATGTAGGTATAAAATTTAATAATATTACATTACATCATTAAAAAAAATTATTAATTAACACAGGAACCATTTAAGAAATCTCGTCGACTGAAAATATTATTTCAATAAAAAACAGTTATGATGATTCGTTGATCGTTACCTGTTTCAATGTTTAATAAATTTTCTCATACTTTTTTATTGAAATATGCATCGACACGTTTTTTTTACATGGTTCACTTACCGTCATATATAATTATACATTTGTCTGCGCCATATGATTTTCAAAATTTTCATTCTATCATAATCTCATTTTAAATAAAATATATGTTGAAATAAATACACATTCCAAAAACCGCCATCTATGGATGAAAAAGTTATTAAAAGCGGATTTAAGTTACTTAAACTGTTAACATTTTAACTTTTCTAGTAAATATAGCTATATAATGTTTGTTTGAAAAGATCAATTATTTATTAACCTTAATTATGTATTTAACAACTGCATTTGCGTCATAGCATGTACCGATTAAATCTGTTTTGTTACGAAAAATCAGCAATAAAGAAAATAACGAATTGTCAGTAGTATCGAAATGGACATTGATTTTTAAACAGAATCGTAGTGGTACCCGATTTTACTAGGGACGCTGCAGGCTAGGTATTTACACCCACCTGTATCTAACACTTTATTAATAGAAGGCGTGTTTGGTGCAAATTGAAATGGCGAAAGGGAACAATAATATCCATGCCGCGCACCAACAAAATGCCTCTCTTGACGTCACAGGTGACCTTGGACAACAGATATTTTTTAGTTGATAATAAACAATGGTATTGACATGTCGTGTGTATTGTAGATACTTGGATAAATCATATATAACGAACGCGCCCAGTGCACTTCGTGGTCTGTATAACCGGATCCAGAAAAGGTCGAAACACTTTCCCTGTGAAATCTAAATTTTCTATTTCGTTCGTCGTATTAATTTTATTTAGTCTGTAGCTTTAAATCTAGTTTATATAAAAATTCTAAGAATGTTCTTTTATAGCTTTATATCCTATCTAACTAGTAAAGGTACATACATGGTACTTATATGGTAACTCATATGTCTTAATGGAAGAGAGATCATAAAAATATTAAAGATTCTAAGAAGATACATACTTCAAAATATTGTTTTACTTAAAGAGTTAGCTGTTTGTGACTGCAAACACATTTTATATGGACCGCACATATTTAAATGTAGAATTTGAGTTAATCAAATATTCTAAGTAGTGTACATATTTATCAGTTTTTCCCGCGTTGTATATTAGGCACCTAGTTTACAAACACAGGGGACCTTTGATACCTTATCACAACGTTTTTATACATCGCTTACGCAATCTTTATGTAATGGAAGGTTTAGTTACGGTATAAAATATTGCTATCGAGAAAATGGTTTAACCATTATATACTATTCTTGAACAAAATTTCAGTTCTGTGGATTTATTGCGGTCGTAAGTATATTGAGGTTATTGGGTTTGTGTGTCTCATGAGATCTTTTACGCGTCTATGACCCGAGCAAATACGAAATGTAACATCGGTATGTTATATTACTTTTAACTTTTCAACTTCTATAAAACAGCTTGTATCATGGTATTGCAAATAAATTTTATCGTATCATCCCAAAGAATTTGATAATTATATAAATGAGTACATATGTTAATTAATAACTTTAATACACTAGCTTTTAGAGGCATACATAGAGAAGGGTCGCGTGGTCCGTATTCGACCCAGGATGTCGGGTTACTGTTTCAAAATTCTAGGCTCGTCTGTGGAGATAAGAACATTCACGCAAGGATCCGGAAAAAAAAACTTAAATGCACCAGCCTATTTAAGCTGTGGTGCTGTGTTAAGCTAAAGTTATATACGTAATCCTATTAATGTATTAATATTTAAACGGGCCTTAATTATTATTAAAAATGACCAATTAATGTAGTGTCTTCGAAATGTTTGTTACTCATAAATATAATAATGTCAAAGCAAATGCAATAAAAAATGTTTTGTACTTACAAGCCAACGCCAATAGAGCACAAATGTATACATGATTTAAAAAAAATAGTAAAAGCCGACATTTGGAAAAAATAAATTACTGTAAAGAGTTTGATTGACTGTGGTGTATTGCCTAGTAAATGTATTAATATTTTTTCAGTTTGTCTAAAATTAAATTTAAAAGACGCTGCACTAACTATAAGTTTAGTTTTGCTGCTAATAAAACTTTACCTTCGGCTACTATACACCGACGGGGTCGGGGGTGTGGTGACTCGGTACAAGCGACCCACTTTCTAACCTTCCTGTTTGATGACGTCGCTTGTATTATTTGGGTCATGAGGGCGCCTGAGGTAAGAGGAATTGCTTAGCCTATCGTCGATAAGAAAAAACATTAATCTTAGACCATGCAAAAACGTATATCTATCTTAAATATTGAAGATCTTTTTAAACCCTACATAACAGTATACATTAGTGTTATTGATTTTATAGTTCTTTAACCATTTCTCTAAATAGTAACTTAAATATCAATTATTGTTTTACACTTTATGAATGGCCGTTTCCGTATTCACTTAGCAACAAATTTGGTTATATTTTGTGTTGCTCACCTGTCTTTCAAAACTGTAGCGGAGGCAGATCTTAGTGACTCGAATCCGCGCGACTTAATAATTACTTTTTAAAACAATGTATTTTATTTGGTTAGCTTGAATACTTAAAAACTGGCTTTAATATAGCTTAAAAGGAACGGTTTTACAAATAACACGTCAAATCTGTATTTACTTTTTATTCCGAGTGGAAAATAAATAGAACTACAATCGCAATCGAAACATCGAATAGATTTTTAGCGCGTTCTTGCGATTACCGGTTTCAATTATTACTATTTAATTTAGTACATAACAGTTGTATATTAGTATATACAACTGTTGTGTACGCGGATTCAAGTCACTTAAGATCTGCCTCCGCTACAGTGCAGCCCTGCGATTCTGTAAAGGTGGGAGCTTGTAGTTTATTGTTTATCAGAATGCTAAATCATAAAATCACTGCTTCACGACTGATTTCAGAGCGACCGCCGATGCGAAAACCGCTGTGTGAGTTCGAAAAGTGAGTTACAGAATCGCAGGGCAGTTTTGAAAGACAGGTGAGCAACACAAAATATAACCAAATTTGTTGCTAAGTGAATGCGGAAACGGCCATCCATAAAGTGTAAAACAATAATTAATTTTTAAATTACTATTTAGAGAAATGCTTAAAGAACTATAAAATCGATAACACTAATGTATACTGTTATGTAGGGGTTAACGAAGTTGAATTAAAATTAATAGGGAAAATTATGAAAATAAATATTGCAATGCATTGTCTGTATAACATTCCGTGCGTATACTAAGTCCTTTTTTGTTTTTTAACATAAATACGTATTAAAATATAAAGTTTTCTCTGTATTGATTGTGTAGTGTATCGGATTGATGTGCACGGAGAGATTTGCAGCTTGCACGCGGCTGCCATGAGGTTATTGCATGTATAGTTACAACTTATCAAAGATGTACGTTCTCAGATGCCTTTAGTTTTTTAGAATAGTTATATTTTAAATCGAATTAATATAACAATTGCTAACTTAAAAAAGTAAATTGTTCAACTAAAGATAATTTATTTTACATTTAATATGATTAACTATAAATCATCGACACGTTCAACTTACCAAAATAGTGAGTAGATTAAATCAATACAATATATAAACGATTTTAGGCTCGCTATCAATATTAAATTAATTAAAAATATATATATTACTCTTTGTAATATTTTAATCCGTTTTTTTATTTCCACTAAAATAATTCTTATTAAAAACTTTTTGAATGTTAGTTTATGTAATTACGAAAGGAACGCAGTAGGTAAAACTTTTTGAACTACAAATTTTCTTAAGTGGAATAACATATACTTTTTCAAAGTAATATTGATAGCTATTATGTGCTGGAACTCCCCGATTAATAATAATTTTTATTCAAACTAGAATATAAGGCAAAATTGATTTAGTACTATGCATCAATATAAGTGTCTGAGTTGAAAGCCTCTGAGTAAGAACTTAAGTACAGTGTATGTTTAGTCAGAATGCAGTGGAAAACTTACCAGAAATATAAACATTTATCTAGGTGTGACCGTGGATGTAGAACAATAACAATCGTTCCTGTAAGCGTTATCAACTTATCAGTGACTGAATGCGGTTGAACCGAATTGTATGTAGGCCCTTTTAAAACCTACAGTAAGTAACCTACTTCAAAATATTACTATTCGGAAAAAAATTGAACACGTTAATGAAAATTTTTATTTAAATGAAACCGGTCTCCATGAACACTCACACCAAAAGGCTCGCTTTTTGCCTTTTCGCTTTTCGTTGCTTTTTATCGCTCTTTTCTTGAAGGACTCTATGTCATGTAGATAAGTAATTATTTAATAAACGTACTTAATAATGTCAACATAAAAATATAAGTCATCGTATTTATTTTATTTCCAGACGTACAAAGTTTGATTCATATTGGTGTGTTTGTTTTGTTACTTTCAGAATTTTCATATTAATTTAAGTCAACTTAAGATTTTCGAATTTTTTCACCAATCCTAAATTTTTTTTTAATTTGTGATTTTTATACTTTATAAACAAAATTTGATTAAAAACTACTAATCTTATTAATGATTGTCGATCCTTAAATGCCTATTTTAGTTATCTTTAAGGTACTCGCGAAAAGACAAAAATAAAGTTTAATTAGTAAAGTGGTACACACAATTAATATACTTACAATTACATAATACTCATGTACAGTGGACTCCTTATCGTCCTTAAATCACTGCGTAACTCAGTGCATTTTATTTTCAGAATGACATTTTATTACATAAAGGAGATAAGACGAAAAACGTCAACGGGAAACAAAACGCGAGTAGGCAATGCATAAAACAGTGAGAGGTAGTAAACATTAAAGAAATGGCAGTTAGATATGGAAAAATACAAGTCAAAGTGCGTAATTAAAAAGCTTCTGACGTCAAAAAGAAACATTGAAATCGTTTAAAAGTAAATTGTTAAAATTTCCTGGAAACATCTTATTGCCTACATTGTTAATAGTAGTCAAAACAATTTACAAAAAAGAAAAACATAATAAAACTTTGTTGATTTGCTATTTTATTTTAGTCGCGGCATAACAACGGCCGTTTGAACAGAACCATCAATTACATATTATGTACACAAACCAATAATTAGAACAATAAAAAAACATACAAAATACAGTATAAATATTGTTTTGGTTATACTTACAAAATATTCAGCAGAACTCTGGTCGGCTAGAGTGGGTGTGAGTAAGCATCCTGGTGAAGATGGAGCAGTGGCAGCAGGAGGTGGTGGAGCCAAGGACATCAGCTCCCCAGCCGATGCAGACATGCCTCCAGCCGCCGCCAAACTTCTCAAACGGTCAGCTAAATCCGTATGACCGCCACTAAAGGCTTTTCCACTACCACTACCACACTCTTTACTACTACACAGGTTGTCGATGATACGAGGTCTACGAAGCTTTCGAGATGCTGCACGCCATCGTCTCAGCCTACATGCCGCGTTATTTAAAACTTCCTCGGTCTCCAGACACGTCTTAAGCTCTTCGTCGGAATTCGCAAGATCAGCATCTAAAATTTCATCTATGTAAGGCAGCTTTTGCTCGGTGATGGACGGAGATGGTGTATCATCAGAGGGAACCATGCTAGAAGGTCCCAAGAAATCTCTTAAGGCAAATGCCAGCTTTTGGTCCGAACTAAGGCCCGCCGGAACACTGCTTCCAACATTTTCTGTAGCCACATATTTAACTTCCTGGTTTCTATCATCCTTCGGTTCACTTATGGAAGACGAATCTTCATTAGAGTTTATATCAATATTAATTTCTTGGCTTTGTGAAGGCATTCTGACAATTTTATATCTACCTACTTTCAAAAATAAGTATTATAATGTCATTTTACACGATAACAACGCATAGTTTATGGTGATTTTTTCTTCGGTAATTTCACACACATTTATAAACATAGTGATGCCAAATACTACACGAATCTTACATTTTATCTGGTGTGGCAATTCCTTACGCTATAGCTACTCGTATGTGCCTAAGCTCTCGGTTATGATCGATGTTAAAATGTATCACTTTCATAATAACTGCACTGAAATCGCAAAGAAAATTATGTATGTTTAAGAAAATAGATTACGCAAATCGATCATAAGCCGCAGAAACACCACGGATTATTATGCGTCAAAACGAAACACAATCAACCTCGTATAAACTCAGGCAGTATGCGCAAACTGAACACTAAACACTCGCTAGCGGCTGCCGAGTACCGCTGTCATCATACTATAGCTATATTTAACAGACTCGATTGTACACTTGTTTGTATCGATATAAAGTAAGCATGCGCGTTGTAATTCCATGTTGAGCAACGCCCCGGCGTGGCTATTTCTAGAACTATATACATTATTATGTTATTGCCTTGCTGCGTCATTGCTAGTTACATGACTATCGCGTGCGAAACTCAAAATAAAACTAAGGAGATAGTTTACTTTGCATTCGATAGATGGCGTTATACTAACTATTGAACGAGAATTGCTGGAATAAAATAATGAAAACCCTCTATTTATTTATTTTACGTTTGGGGTTGTTTCGCCTGAAGACTCTCTATAGTCTAAAAATCCTATTTAACTTATAATATATTTCTTATTAACGATTCACATAAACGTTGAATAATTAGACTATATTGTTTAAAACTAGCGCCTGTGAAAAATGAAAAACCGAAACATAATATTATGATTATCTAGCAGTAGCTTATATTGGCAGGGAACTAGGTTATAATTTTCATTATTAATTCTATACTCGATGATTTAAGGTTTTAAATAATTATGTGGTTGTACAAAAATATGAAAGTACAATATTATTTTCTTAGCCGACATCAAAAGAATTGAGATCTAAATGGTTGCCAAGTTCATTAGAAATATATGTATTTATTTACATAAATACGATAAATACATATATGTATTATATGAATCTTGTCAATTATTTATTTCCAAATAATTGTTAGAAATTGTCATACTTTAGACTTTGTAGTCGTAGGTATTCGACAGCTAAAATAGTTTTCGAGTGATAATTCGAATTGTACATAAATGAAAATAGATAAGATTATAATTTTTTGTTTGTTGGTCATGGTTAAACTCGAACTTCTATTGAACAATTATTAGATTTTTCCTTAAATAAAATAATATACGGCTGCGCTCTCATCCCAAAGTAAATAACGAGAAAAAGGTTCAAGCAAGCTTATCGTTCCACATCTGAGCGTTTCTTAAGGCTTTTGACAGTTGCCGATGTCTCGTGGTTTATTTGAAGCCTGATTTAATACCCTATGCGTGTGCAAAAATTGTGTGCAAAGTGCAATCGTCTTTCTTGACAAATAAAAAAGTTATCGATTTTTGATATGAAACAGACCTCGATTTTCCATAGTGCGTCGTGGCCACATTCATGGGCTACACGCAATTTCTGCGTCGCACAAGCTGCTGTCAACTGTGGGCAAATATTACACACCTAGCACCTATTTGGTACGACAAACGTATACAAATTAAGATATAAGCGGATTGATATACATAATTTAAACGATTACAAATAATACATATTTTATTTGTCTTATCTACATAATATCGGCTAACATTAAAATTGTTAAACTTCAAAAATTTATCAGATTTTGTAAGCCACAATTCCTTTAAGAACATTCTTAGGCACAAATGCACAGAGATGAGAAAATATACATTTATTGATATATTGTAAGCAATTGTTATCCAATAATTTTAGGTTTGTATAATAGAATAGGTAATTACGATGATTTACATAGAGAAAAATGATTCTCACGTTTGATTATGTATGTTTGCTATTATTATTCGGTCTGACAACTCTAAAATATTTCCATATTACTATATGATTACATCACCTCATTGTGCATAATTTTTGATAGCCTCGACATGGATTTTAGGAAAACTATGTACTTTGTATGTACGACCTACTAAAGATACGCCGAGAGCAGAGTGTAGGTACCGAGTAGCCGAGTTAGCATCTCATAAATATTATATATTACGATTTTGTCAATATCAGTGATCTAATAATTTTTCTAATGTTTAAAATAATAAATGTTACCGTACATTGCATTGTATTCTTAAACATACAGAAAATATGGCAATATGAGGTAAACGGAGTACAAATTACTCGACTCGGCGTTTATCAGATAAATATATTTATTAAATATGTGTAGGTATAAAAAATATATTTGGTGTGAGTAACATCAGATTATTAAACAGCGTAAGGTAAACTACAATATTATGTCCTATGAAACTAACTATACACTAATTTTTGATGCAGAAGTATTAAAAATATTATTACTACCATACAGATTAACATTTAATCCGCACTTGACGCATTGAGTCAATTTACCGCCCTATGATCACAGTTATAAACCATGAAGGCTGCAATTGTTGGGGAATACCACCAATTGCTTGCTAAGGACGTATTTAATGTCGGCCCATCACTGCCTGAACATGTCTATAATACAGAGTACATTTTAGTTCAGGCCTTATTACCATAGCGGGTCGAATGCTTCATCATGTGTCTCTGGTTATTGACAGCGTGTTTAGGATTATTGCCTTCAAATCCCTCACAAAATGCACAAATAGTTATAGTGCAAGGGGTTCCAGCACCAATCTTGCAGCCAACTGCAGCCCCAACCACAGTACCGACTACAGTGACACCTACAGCAGCCCCAACCACAGTACCGACTACAGTGACACCTACAGCAGCCCCAACCACAGTACCGACTACAGTGACAGCTACAGCAGCCCCAACCACAGTACCGACTACAGCAGCTACCACAATGGCGACGACGAGAATGCCGCCGCCATCGCCAACAAATGCAACAATGAGTTCCGCACCACTAACCCCAATGACAACCATGATGACCACAGCGCAACCGACAACAGCTGTCGCTCCAACGACTGCTGCTCCCACAACAGCACCTACAACACGAGCTACCACTCCTGGTAATACAGTCTCATCTACATTTCAAACAACGAGTACTATGCGTACCTCAATTGCTAGTCCATCATCATTGCCAAATTCATTTTACATAAGTTCTACGCCTTCGACCATTTCATCAGATCATCAGATCAGAATCATTGTGCTTTGTGATAATCCTGATGCGATATGTGTATCTAATCCTGATGACAATACTACAGGACAGCTGCCGATTGATCCCAGACTTGGTTCTACACCGGCGGCAGAGTTCCGACTACCATCCATAGAATACAGTCAAGCAAACCCCTCGCTTGACAGTGCTGTTAAATTTCCTCGTGAGAAGAGAAGTGTAAAAGAGAACCAAGTTGCGGAATACGTGTACAGTAATTTAAGCAATCACAGAATTCGAAAGAGGCAAAGCAACTGCCGATGTGTACCTTCTGGCACTTGTATCAGATCGTCAGGTAATGGCATGATCGATATAAGAATAGTAACACCAGTAAGTACAATTAATATTCGTAATATTCAATTTTCTCGGTAATGTTCATATTTTTTTAAAAATTGTTTTTAGACCATGATGCCCTGCCCTGCAGGCCAAGAATATTGTTGTGGTGCTACCACGACCGCAACGATTGCATGTGGCACTCTGCAGACGCCACCATCGCCTGTAGTTACGCCAGCGGCTGGGCAAGCTAATTTCGGAGAATATCCTTGGCAGGTACATGAAATGAAATATAATAATTACATACGACATTATATTTATTTAATCAAATCTAATTTGATTTGCAGGCATTGATTTTAACGAAACAGAATGATTACATTGCCGGTGGTGTCTTAATAAATCAACTTAACGTTATAACGGTGATACATAGGCTTTCCACTTACATGTAAGTATCGATGTGTTGATTAAAATTCCTCTCGTAAAAGTTTTACTAAGATTTCAATAATTTCAGAGTCTCGGGCACTGCTCCTAATGTCAAGGTGCGTTTAGGTGAATGGGATGCTGCTGGTACCTACGAACCTGTTCCTTTCCAGGAATATACAGTAACAAAGGTGTTTACTCACCCCTCATTCAACCCCAATACGCTGCAATACGATATTGCAGTTTTACGTTTGTCAGCATCTGTACCTCTGACACCCATGACGGGTTCAACGATGACTATTAATAGAGCATGTCTTCCGCCAGCATCGACTACTACATACACAGGCCAAAGGTATATTTTTTTTATTACTTATAATGGTACAATAAAATTGTTATCTCGTAGCACCAATACGTTACATTGTATATATACGCTTAAACTTCTCGCATGGTAGTTTTGTAATAATATTTTTTTAAATAAAAATATGAAAATATTCTCGCCATTCGTGTTATAATATGGTCTATGTAAGTCTTATTTTTTTAAATCCTCTATACTTTAGTAACTTAGAAAACACAAGACCTTGATATTATTTTCTTTTAGATGTTGGGTAGCAGGATGGGGAAAAGATATGTTTGGAATGCAAGGGCAATTCCAGCAGATCCTGAAAGAAGTAGATGTACCAATAGTTGCTCCTGCCACTTGTCAGACGCAGTTGCAGGGTGCGCGCCTGGGACCGACATACGTACTAGACACTACCTCTTTTGTTTGTGCTGGAGGCGAAGCTAATAAGGATTCTTGTAGTGTAAGTATTTTTTTAGGAAATTCAAGCAATTTCAGTTTAATTCCTCCATTGTATGGTATTATGATCTAAAAAAATATTTTAATAATTAAAAATATCTAAAAGTCAACGCAGAATAAAAACAAAGTATTTATAAATTTATGTAGGCAACTGTTAAGATCGAAGTCACAAAACGAACTTAAAGTGTAACCGAAATCCTTTATAAAATATTTTTTTATTTGTAGGGTGATGGAGGATCAGGTCTGGTATGTCAAGTGCAGGGGCAGTGGGTCGTTGTGGGTTTGGTTGCGTGGGGACTGGGCTGCGCCAGCGCAAACGTTCCCGCTGCCTATGTAAATGTAGCCGCTTTATTGCCTTGGATACAACAACAAGTCGCTACGGCCTGAAGTATTTTATGTTGAAGTCACTTACTGTAGAATTATTTATTTATTTATATTGACTACCAAAATCAGTGGCTTTTCATTTCGCTTAATTTAAAAAAATAAAACGTACGTAACATGTTAAAATTTTGTATAATACTCTAAAACATAGTGAAGCTTAACTAATAAACATAACAGTTTTTTAATAGCGATTTAAAAAAACATTGTAAAACATGTTTGAGGCGAAATTAAAAAGACGAAATCTACCAAGGATTACTTGTATATACTAACGTATATGGCGTTCTAAACGCTCAATAACAAAATATAGTTAAGAATTAACATTAACAGTTCAATTAACTAGAATATACCTAGGACGTCATCTAGTATTGCAGCGGGAGCCTGGCCCACGAAGGACGATATCATTCTTAGCTTTACGTACTAAATCTTAATATCTATTACACTTCTTTGATTCATGTGTTTGACATATACTCGGTACACTAATTCATTCCTCATCAGGTTTTTCTTGTTTCACTATAGGCGATACAGATTCTGTGGACGTTGGCGGAATAGGTGGTGGAGAAGATACTTCAATGTATTCATCATTCTTCTCCTCTTTAACCTCACTCTCTTGTTTAACTTGTACTTCCGCAACTGGTGAAGACAAAGTTTTAGGGGACGTATCGGACTGAAGCGCGACCCAAGCTGATGCAGCACCCCTGGCGTACGCTTCATAGAATGCTCTTTGAGCTAATTCAGCTTCCTCAAGGTGGATTAATGCATGATTATCCAACTCCGCTCTGAAGAAGAATTTCAGACCGCAACGGCCACAATCATAGGGCCTTGTAGCGGCTGGATGTTCTGGCAAATGCCTTTGAAGACCGGCTGCGCTCGTGAATACAGCAGAACAAAGGTAGCAACTGAAAGAACCAATGCCAGCAAAGGTATGTTCAATAAGATGTGTTTGAAGACGAGTAGGAGACTCTAAGGCTCGCCGACAAAGTCTACAGTCATTATCTGACGGCGGAGGAGGCCTTGGAGCAGCATGTCTTGCATAACA